CCTTTGGTTTGGACTCAGTCTGACCCTTATGTTTCCCTCCCCTTATGGTTTTGATCTATGGGCTACTTTTAAAATGAGGCAGCATTTTAAATTGCATCTTAACCTGTATTTTAAATTGGTTGGTTTTTTTCCTATTATGTTTTTACTGTGATTTTACTGGTGTTAACCGCCATGAGCCCGGCTCTGGCCGGGGATGGTGGGGTATAAATAAAATTTATTATTATTATTATTAATTACTGCCTTTGAACACATAGTTTTATGAAATTACCATGCTTTACAGTCAATGGCGAGAAGTAGGACGTGCAGCAGGGGCAGTGTTCTTGCTCAGTGTCTAAACTACTACTACTACTATTATTATTATTATTAAATAAAAATAATAATTACTGCCTTAGAACACATAGGGTTTTATGAAACTACCATGCTTTACAGTCAATGGCAAGAAGTAGGACGTGCAGCAGTGGCAGTGTTCTTGCTCAGTGTCTAAACTAATAATAATTTATTAATAATAATATTAATAATATTATTAATTACTGCCTTAGGAAAAATAATAAATAAAAATTTATTATTAATAATATTAATAATATTATTAATTACTGCCTTAGGAAAAATAATAAATAAAAATTTATTATTAATAATATTAATATTATTATTAATTAATGACTTTGAACACATAGGGTTTTATGAAACTACCATGCTTTACAGTCAATGGCAAGAAGTAGGACGTGCAGCAGTGGCAGTGTTCTTGCTCAGTGTCTAAACTAATAATAATTTATTAATAATAATATTAATAATATTATTAATTACTGCCTTAGGAAAAATAATAAATAAAATTTATTATTAATAATATTAATATTATTATTAATTAATGACTTTGAACACATAGGGTTTTATGAAACTACCATGCTTTACAGTCAATGGCGAGAAGTAGGACGTGCAGCAGTGGCAGTGTTCTTGCTCAGTGTCTAAACTAATAATACTAATAATGGGGATTTGTGTGCGCAGACTGTTGGGTAGGCCCAGAGGCGGGTGGGCCTGCAGGGGCTACATCCGCCAGGCTTTTTGCCAACGTTTCCCACAGGCTGCCGCCCAGCTCGGTGGCCGGCGACCGCCGAAGGGAACCGGCGCGCCCCTTCCCACAACCCTTTACTGGAGGGAGAAGAGACGGCGCGGCCGCCCCGGGCGCCTCCAGCCCCACCTGTCGCCTCAGCCTCTCCAGCAGAGCCTCCTGCGTCTCGATCAGGTCTCGCAGCTGCTGGAAGGCCACGGACGACGCCATTTTGTTTTTCCCCCCCTTCTTCACCGGCCGTTGGAAGTGCGCGCGCTTCCCCCCTCCGGCCAATCACGCAGCGGCGCCGAACGTGAATCACGGGACGTTCGCCCTCGCGAGACTTCTTCGCCCGCCCCTTCCGCCCAGTCGCATCAGAACAAGGGAGGGGCGGGGCCAGAGCTGCCTGTTCTATCTAGAGTCCTATAGGAAGCTGCTGGCGCGCCCGCAAAGCGAGTACCGTAATTCCCCTAATTCAGGCGCCGAGAGAGAGAACCGTAATTCCCCTAATGCAGGCGCTGAGAGAGAGAGAGAAGCGTTATTCCATTAATGCAGGCTTAGAGATGGATGGACAAACACACAAAAAGACACACAGAGATAGTGTAGTGTAACGGTTTGAGCGTTGGAGTAGGACCTGTAAGACCAGGGTTCAAATCCCCACTCATCCACGAAGCTGCCATCCTGCTGATCATGCATATTCAGCCTTGTTTTTACCTTGTCATCTTTGGGGAAGGTAGGAATTATTAAAAAGTCAGTCAGTTGCCAAGTTGTGTTGCTTCTCCTTTTGGAAATGTTGCAAAAAGCCACCTGGACGTTTCTGCACACTCGTACTTAAACATCTGCTTTGTGATGAAGGGTGGTTAAAAAACACACACAACCCAAATAAATAACACATGTTTTGTTATAATGCAGTGTCGGTTACTGGAACAATTTTCACTTTTGCTTTCCTCGCTGACCTGTGACTATCCAGAATTCCAGTTCCAAATTATTCATCTCTTGCACAGCTCCTACCATGGGACATTCTTCTTCAGATCCTTCTCCACCCTCACCCCATCACTGTTTTTTTTTACTTTTAAATGGTACAGTGGTACCTCAGGATAAGTACTTAATTCGTTCCGGAGGTCTGTACTTAACCTGAAACTGTTCTTAACCTGAAGCACCACTTTAGCTAATGGGGCCTCCTGCTGCTGCCGCACCGCTGGAGCACGATTTCTGTTCTCATCCTGAAGCAAAGTTCTTAACCCGAGGTACTATTTCTGGGTTAGCGGAGTCTGTAACCTGAAGCGTATGTAACCTGAAGCATATGTAACCCGAGGTACCACTGTACTCATGAGGTAAAGCACTATGTTGGCATAGAGATAAACAATGTGTCGTTTCATTTTTTCCGGCACTCTTGTTTGTGACTTTCTGTGGTTACAAAGCAAGTTAAAAAGAAATCTGTCATAGGTTGTTGTCCTTAATTACATAACTTGAAACTAAAGGCTCAGTGGGATCACTCTCTCAAAGCTGAGCAAAGGCCCGAAAGAGTGGGGCCTGCTTAATATACATAGTAAAGGTAAAGGGACCCCTGACCATTAGGTCCAGTCGTGACCGACTCTGGGGTTGTGGCGCTCATCTCGCTTTATTGGCCGAGGGAGCTGGCGTACAGCTTCTGGGTCATGTGGCCAGCATGACTAAGCCGCTTCAGGCGAACCAGAGCAGCACACGGAAACGCCGTTTATCTACTTGCACTTTGATGTGCTTTCGAACTGCTAGGTTGGCAGGAGCAGGGACCGAGCAATGGGAGCTCACCCCGTCGTGGGGATTTGAACCGCTGACCTGATTGGCAAGTCCTAGGCTCTGTGGTTTAACCCACAGCGCCACCCGCATCCCTTAATATACATAGCTGTTATCTATTAAAGCAATACATATGCATAAACCTCCTCCAAAGTTACAACACAATACTAATTATACCATGTATGGGCTTTCCTTCATCGCCTAAGCAGCCCCCACTGCATATGATCTCTTTGCATTCCTTTCTACCTGAGGGGGAAAGCAACAGATGAAGGTACATCTCAGAACTGCAAGGCATGTCTTCTTTCATATGTAGACACTCAGGAATGTGCTTACAACCTTGGGCAGGGGTCAGCAAACTTTTTCAGCAGGGGGCCGGTCCACTGTCCCTCAGACCTTGTGGGGGGGGCAGACTATATTTGGGGGGGAATGAACGAATTCCTATGCCCCATAAATAACCCAGGGATGCTTTTGAAATAAAAGCACACATTCTACTCATGTAAAAACACCAGGCAGGCCCCACAAATAACCCAGAGATGCATTTTAAATTAAATCACACATTCTACTCATGGAAAAACACGCTGATTCCCGGAAGATAAGAAAACAGTAAGAAACAGTAGGCACAAGGCCTCTAGGCCTGGCTAGTTAGCTGAGCTTATAGAGCTCTATGTGCATTAAAACAAAGATCAACTTTAAATAAAGATCATCTCCTGCATGTAAGTGAGCTTTGATACTCATAATCTTTTATTTCATTTCTTATTTCCATACAACACAGCGGAAGTTGTCATTTTCATGGCTGAACAATGCAATACATTTGTAAATTACTTGTTTTTGGTATTTTTTTTATTAAAAAAAAACAACATACTGAAATTTTTGTTTCCGAAACTAACGGCGAATTCTTCAAACACTGCAATAGTCCTAGTGAAATTGCTCAAGGGCTGAGGCCAAAATAACAGAAAACTGTTGACTTCAAATCCACTAATCACTCCAATAAATTTCCTGATTTCTCACTCAGGACTTAAAGGAAAGCATACCTTGTTTACTAGTCATCTGGTGTACAATACACACCTACATGGTTTATGAAAAATGAACTGTACAATCAAGATTCAATGAAGTCATATACAGTTACCATATTGCCATATTTACATTCAGAAAAATTAATCTCACCAAAACCACAACAAATAAATACATAAATAAATAAATAAAACATTGTGCTCAATGTGAAGTTAAAAAAAAAAGTCAACTTTTCAAATACCATGCACATGAAGTACATTTAATTATAAGGGTAAACCAAGTCTTTAACTGATGCTACAGTTGACTACAGATTTACTTGTAGCCTAACAGGGACAAACTCAGTTAAATTTGTATACAATATAAATCAGCTTTCTTTCAGTTTGCCAACCAAGTCATTTCTAAAATGTTATTACCATATATACTCGAGTATAAGCCAACCCGAATATAAGCCGAGGCACCTAATTTTACCACGAAAACCTGGGAAAACTTATTGACTCGAGTATAAGCTGGTTCTCCACACCACAAACCTGGTGGTGGTGGTGGCAGCGGTGGAGGAAGAACAAGCAGCCCAAAAGGGCTGCTTTCAGCATAAAAAATGTGCTGAAAAAGTCGCCTTATACTTGAGTGTATACGGTATTAATAAAGCAGAGGCCTTTTGCATTTCTGGCCAAATTTTGGGGTCATTTGCTACCTAAAAGTATCATTAGCTCCAAAATATAACTTAGAAATATTCCTAGGCACACGTTACCTGGGAATCTGTGCAAGCAAGCACAGCTAGGACAAAATTGTCCCTGGGTGTTAGGTGAATCATTGACATAAAGGGAAGGGATAAACTATATGCCAAAATGTATGCGTATCATTCCACAATCTGGTTTAAGCGGAGAACAGTGGAGGCGCCACTTTGTCATAAATGACCATTACAATCCTAAGCTGTACACATCTACTCAGAAGTCCCACTAAGTTCTGAGTTTCAGTGAAGCTTATTTCCAGCAGAGGACTGCAACCTCAACCACGATGTTGGATAAGCACATGCCGGCCATCACCTCCAGATGTTTTGGGTTACAACTCTCATCAGCCCCAGTCATCATGGGCAATGATCAGCGATGTGAGTTGTGGACCAAAACTTCTGGAACGCACTAGGCTTATTTATATCCCTTTAGCAAGTAACCAGAATATTCAGAACAGATAAAAGCCCACACTCTTAAAAAATGTTATCCTCTTCAAGTACCTTTTAGCTCATGAGCAAACAAAATTATTAAGCAGGAACCTCCTGCCAAATTTACTTTTTGTGTTAATAGGCTGCCTACGTCTTTTAAATTAATTCAAATTCCATTAGCTTCATTTAATCTCTTTTCACAGGCGTTTTAAGTACCAGGACTGAGATCAGATACCTTGACCCCAATAAGAAATAGCTTTCCAGAATAAAGAAAACATGCCTGTATTTAAAAAAGCTTTACAAATTAAGCAGTTTTTATTTAATAATGCCTCTTAGGAATTGAAACTGTTATTTCAATAAGGGTATGTCGCAGTGTAGCTGCAATCTGCTACAAATCTGAACATGTATATAGGTATTTCTATATAGTGCTGTTGGTGAAGGATGTGTAAAGAAACTCTATAGAACTGTTAATACAGCTGGTGTGATCAATCATTAACTCTTCCACCTCCTGTTACATGAAAGATTCCAAGATCCCAGCATATGAAACTCAGCGGAGGGCAATTGTAGCTGTTCCATGGACATACAAAAATCATAGCGCCCCAAATATGAATGCCCCAAGGTCACCCTGAGGACCAAAATATGAAGCCCAGGTATTTCTGTTTACTACGAGACTGTTTAAAAATAGGGTTACATCCTTGAGACTGCCTTCACTGCAAGCTTTGTTGAAACAGAGTAGATATATATCAAAACCAAATCTTGTCCCTTCTCTGCTGAAAGTGTGATAAACAGCAGCTTCAGAGGAACATGGAAATGACAATGTGAGACGTTCAGGGAGTGACTGATCTGGTTTTGAGGGCGCTATGCTTACGGCAACACCAGTGAGAATGAGGGGGGTATGTTCCCAGGAAACATCTGCAAGGCCCCCAAATGGCAGCAAATGATCAGATGAAGACAGTTGCCGAATGCAATTAAATCGGCAAGGAATCATTAACATTGAAACACTACTGGGCCTTGGAACCAAATATACTGTATATGTTACAGCAAGTGTTGCCTCTTGGGCTCAGTTCATTCAGCTCCATGTACATGAGGATGATGATGAGGATACTAAGTATTAAGTCTTTACGTTATGCTTTTCCTCTTCATTTAAAAAGGAAAACAGAACCGAGAAGAAATTCCTCGCAATAGCACACATGGCCCGTTAGTGCCACTCCCTTCATGCCTCTGCCCACTGACGACTCCTTTGTAGTCCTATGAGATTGGAGAGCTTTTCGCAGTTCTCAAGTTTCACGGATTCTGCTTTCTGTTTCAGCCGCTCATCTCTGTACAGCTTCGCCAAATTCGATAGCTCAGATTCTAAGAAGAAAGAAAAGGAACAGTCTGGGTAGCAACACTTTTGGCTTAAAAAATGGTGTTGCAGATGGCATAACATCATTACATCTGTTAAGTTTTTCTGTTTTGGCGACAAGGGCTTAAGTTTCGACAGTACCAAGATTACATGCACTTGTTGGTGCAACTAAATAACACATTTTAAAATATTTACGGAATATTTCAGAGCAATAAACTCCCCAGCGGAGTATATATCAGTTCCCATTTACTATAAATGGCAACTATATACTTCCATTATAAATCACCCTGTATAACTGAAGTCTTAGATCCTATGCAAACTGCTACATACAATTTAGGGTAGTTTTGCAAAGTTGATAATTCACTAATTTTCATTTTAAATGTGATGACATCATGCCTACTTCCAATACAGAAAAAACTGATGATGATGATTATAGTGCACATATATGACTATAGTTAATATTGGAGTTTTATGTCTATGAAACTGAAGAACTCAATCAGTGGCACTGATGATCGTACCACTTTCTATGTAGGATATATAAGTGTGACTTGTAAACACCTGTGGACTCTACAGTATCATTCTGTTTCAGTGCAAAAAATGTTGTAGGCTATCAGAAGGAAGAAGACTGCAGTGAAATTTCCCTACAGGGTTTTAAAAATAAAACTTTACACCATTTCCCAATGGACTTTTTATAATGACTGAGGAACTACAGAATATTTAATAAGCAGATTAAACATACCCTAAGGGATGTGGGTGGCACTGTGGTCTAAACCACTGAGCCTAGGGCTTGCCGATCGGAAGGTCGGCAGTTCAAATCCCCGCAACGGGGTGAGCTCCCTGCTCCTGCCATCCTAGCAGTTCGAAAGCACGTCAAAGTGCAAGTAGATAAATAGGTACCGCTCTGGCGGGAAGGTAAACGGCGTTTCCGTGCGCTGCTCTGGTTTGCCAGAAGCAGCTTAGTCATGCTGGCCACATGACCCGGAAAATTGCCGGCTCCCTCAGCCAGTAAAGCGAGATGAGCGCCACAACCCCAGAGTCATTCGCGACTGGACTTAACTGTCAGGGTCCTTTACCTTTAAACATACCCTGGAGTACGTATAAAATCCTTCAGGAAACAATAACTACAAAAATGAAAATCGGTTTTGGTGGGGTTTTTTTTTTAAGATTAAATTTAAAAAGATGGCAGTATAACTCCATTTTATGTGTGTGTGGGGGGGTATTCTGGTTTCGGATAAATTCCAAATCATACAAATATATTACATTATACACATCTCTTAAAACTGAATGCATGATCTTACTGAACACTGAATTAAAGCACAGTCATCAGCATCACTAGTTGAGAGTGGCTGCCACTCACACTGATTTTGTTGGATCCAAGGATAAATGAGCAGAACTCTGCTTGTACAACGGGGCTTTCCTGTTGTACAAATCACTCCTGAGGACTTTTCCAGTCACTCCTGAGGATCAAAGAACCCTCCAACAAGGCGTGCAATAGGGCACTGGGTGGGGTGGGGGAGCTGCAGCAGGATGGGGAAATCTGGAGTGAGGCTAGCCTTTGTGTGCAAGTGGGAAGTACCCTTCTGCTTGAGCAAGACATTTGGTCTGGATTCTGTATTGATTTATGCCCTGCACTGCTGAATACCTACTGCAGCCTCTTCCAACCCACACACAACCAACTACCGTATTTTTCGCTCCATAAGACGCACTTTTTCCCTCCTAAAAAGTAAGGGGAAATGTGTGTGCGTCTTATGGAGCGAACGCAGGGGCAGATGGGAAAAGCCCCCAAGAGCCGCACACAAGCTCCACGCGGCTCTTGCGGGCTTTTCCCCAGGAGGGAGAAGGGACTGACTGGCCGCATCAGTCCCTTCTCCCTCCTCGTAGAAAAGCCCGCAGGAGCCGCGTGCTCCTTAAAGGGTGCGTGGCTCCTGTGGGCTTTTGCGGGAGGTGGGGGAATTCCCCCACGTCGTAGAAGCGAGGCTCTCTCACTTCCTCCACCTCCCGCAAAAGCCCCCAAGAGCCGCGCTCCCTTTCACGAGCCGCATGGAGTGTGTGTGTGGCTCTGGGGGGCATGTCAGTGATGGGCTGCCCTTCTCTCTCCTTGGGGAAAAGCCCCCAAGAGCCACACATACACTCCAAGGGAGCGCTGAGCAGAGCCTGGGATGCATACAGGCTCTGCTCAGTGCTCCCTTTAAATATTTTTTTCTTGATTCCCCCCTCTAAAAACTAGGTGCGCCTTATGGTCAGGTGTGCCTTATGGAGCGAAAAATACGGTATGACGTAGTGGAATACAGAGAAAACAGAAACCACTGTGGGCTAGTTCAGCAGGACACAGTAGAGAATTTTCCAATGGTATTGTTTCCATGCTATCAGCCAGCTCTAAACTAGCGTAGAGTTTGAGATCCACTTCTCTCCTTATAGATGCTAGCCATTTTTGTGCAACTGACTTTGGCATACCACGAACGCTCTTTGACATTGTCAGAGTTCGTTGTCGAGATTTTAAACCAACGCACACACATGGGGTGCTTAAGAATGAACAAAACACAACCTACTTTGTTGTTTTTCTTTCCTGCAGCTAGTCTGGATATAATCGATATAATCTTTTTCAATGTGTTTTTCAAGCTCTTCAAGCTCTTCGGCGTTATAGTTATGCTCAAAGTTTTTATCAACATAGTAAGGCACCTGTAGATTCTGTGTTTCTCTAACAATCGTGTGCCCAAGATTCCTGAAAGAGTAAGCAAACAATGAAATAATAATAATAATAATAAATTTTATTTATATCCCGCCCTCCCCAGCCGAAGCCGGGCTCAGGGCGGCTAACAACACTAAAATAGTGCAACATTATAAAACATCATAAGAATTAATTAAAATCAAAATTGATGGCAACCATAAACTAAAGTATTGTAAAGATTGCCAAAGGAGGGAGTCAGGCTGTGCCCTAACCAAAGGCCTGGTGGAACAGCTCTGTCTTGCAGGCCCTGCGGAAAGATGTCAAGTCCTGCAGGGCCCTTGTCTCTTGTGACAGAGCGTTCCACCAGGTTGGAGCCGCAGCCGAAAAAGCCCTGGCTCTAGTTGAGGCCAGCCTAACCTCTCTGTGGCCTGGGACCTTCAAGATGTTTTTATTTGAGGACCGTAAGTTCCTCTGTGGGGCATACCAGGAGAGGCGGTCCCGTAGATACGAGGGTCCTAGGCCGTGTAGGGCTTTGAAGGTTAAAACCAGCACCTTAAACCTGATCCTGTACTCCACCGGGAGCCAGTGCAGCTGGTATAGCACCGGATGAATGTGATCCCGCAGCGAAGACCCCGTAAGGAGTCTCGCCGCGGCATTCTGCACCCGCTGGAGTTTCTGGGTCAGTCTCAAGGGCAGCCCCACGTAGAGCGAGTTACAATAATCCAGTCTGGAGGTGACCGTCGCGTGGATCACAGTGGCTAGGTCAGGGCGAGAGAGGTAAGGAGCCAACTGCTTAGCTTGGCGGAGATGAAAAAATGCCGCCTTTGTTATAGCTGCAAGCTGCGCCTCCATGGAGAGGGAGGTATCGAAGATTACACCCAAACTCTTAACGGACGGTGCTGGCACTAATTGCACCCCCGCAAGAGATGGGAGTTGCCCCCTCAATCCCATATCGTCCCGTCCCAGCCAGAGGACCTCTGTCTTCGAAGGATTTAACTTCAACCGGCTCCCACGTAACCATCCAGCCACAGCTTCCAAGCATCTGATCAGTGTGTCTGGGGCCGAGTCAGGATGGCCATCCATCAACAGATAGAGTTGGGTGTCATCAGCATACTGATGGCAACCCAGCCCAAAACTCCGGACAAGCTGGGCGAGGGGGCGCATAAAGATGTTAAAAAGCATCGGGGAGAGAATCGCACCCTGAGGCACTCCACACACCAAGGAGTGGCGGGATGACAGTTCCCCCCCAAGCGCCACCCTCTGTCCCCGACCAGAGAGAAACGAGCGCAGCCATTGAAGGACTGTGCCCTGGATCCCCACGTCGGCGAGGCGGTGGTCCAGAAGTTCATGATCAACCATGTCGAAAGCTGCTGACAGATCTAGAAGAATCAGCAGCCCCGACCCGCCTCGATCCAGCTGTCTACGAAGATCATCTGTTAGGGCGACCAGAGCCGTCTCGGTCCCATGCCCAGCGCGGAAGCCGGACTGGAATGGATCCAGAGCCGATGTTTCATCCAGAAACCTACCAAGCTGTTCAGCAACCGCTCTCTCAATCACCTTACCCAGGAATGGAAGATTCGAAACTGGGCGGTAATTGGATAGATCTAAGGGATCTAATGATGTTTTCTTTAAGAGCGGACGCACCACTGCCTCCTTCAGTTCCCCTGGGAATGTCCCGGTGCCAAGGGACAAATTGATGATATCCCCCAGGGGGGCCCGCACCTCGTCTGGACATGCTCTAATCAGCCAAGACGGGCACGGGTCGAGAGGACAAGTGGTGGGCTTTCCAGCTCGGAGGAGTCTGTCCACATCGGCTGGGGATATCCGGTCAAAGTGGTCCAATACATTTTAACCACTTGAAAAAGAAAAGGAAATACGGTTTTGCCATATTAACATTTGTATTTGAAATTGCCTGTCTTCTAAAAATAGAAATGTTCTCAAAGTAAATTGCATATTCTTTCTCTGTTCTGAGAATATGCAATTTTTGCATATCCTTTCATCTATAGGATCCTGTAATTCCTGGAGTCCTGTCCAGCTATTATAGAATCCACATAGATGCTAATATAATCCAAAAGAATTGCAGCTCTTTGAACTGGTCAGCATTATAACCAACTCATTTCTGAAATGTACAGAAGGCTCTAAAAAATAAAGCAAAACTGTCAGGATGTGACATTATATGTGGTATCCGACTAAATTCTCTTAGTGCAAGGATTTCCATTTGTGAAACAGAACATCAAGATCTGTTCCAGGGGATTGGAGAAATCCCCAGAACAGATTTTGGGGAGGGGAGAGGGTGGGGAAGTTGTGTTGCACAATAAGAAGCCCGTGTGCTAACAGAACAACTTGGTTGAATACTGCCAATAAGGAAGACTGAGTGATGTAAATGAAAACGAATCTTCACACAATTGTTACAGTGGTGCCCCGCAAGACGAACGCCTCGCAAGACGGAAAACCCGCTAGACGAAAGGGTTTTCCGTTTTGGAGGCGCTTCGCAAAACGAATTTCCCTATGGGCTTGCTTCGCAAGACGACAGCCCATAGGGAAATCTCCGGGACAGCGGGGAAGCGCAGCGCGTCTTCCCCACTGTCCTCGGACCTCCTCCGAAGCCTGGCGGCGGGGCGGGGACACCTCCTCCCGCCGCCGCCGGGCTTTGGAAGGCTCCTCCGAAGCCGGGCGGTGGGGCGGGAACACCTCCACCCGCCGCCGGGCTTCGGAAGGCTGCTCCGAAGCCGGGCGGCGGGGAGGGAACACCTCCACCCGCCGCCGGGCTTCGGAAGGCTCCTCCGAAAGCCGGGCGGCGGGGAGGGAACACCTCCCCCCGCCGCCCGGCTTCGGAACTATGCTCCGAAGCCGGGCGGCGGGGAGGGAACACCTCCCCCCGCCGCCGGGCTTCGGAACGATGCTCCGAAGCCGGGCGGCGGGGCCACGAAGCCTGGGCGCGCTGATCTCAGCGCGCGCAGGCTTCGGCATGCTGGCAACTCTCCGCAAGCAGCGGGAGCGCTCCCGCTGCTTGCGGAGAGGTCCGCGAAGCCTGTCCAGGACAGCTTTTGAAGGCGGGGGGGGGAGCAAAGACTTTCGCCCCCCGCCCACCTTCAGAAGAGGTCCTGGACCTCTTCTGAAGGCGGGCGGGGGGCGAAAGTCTTTGCTCCCCCCTGCCTGCCTTCCCAGGGGCTTTTAAATCGCCCCGGACAGCGGAGAAGTCCTCCTCTGTCCCGGGGCGATTTTAAAATGCCGCCCGCCAGCATTTTAAGATCGCCCCGGACAGCGGAGAAGTCCTCCGCTGTCCCGGGGTTTTTTAAAATGCTGGGGGTGGGAAGAAAAGCCCTTGTCCCCCCCCCCCAGCCTTCAGAAGAGGTCGGGGGACAGACTGTCCCTGGACCTGGTCTTAAGGCGGTTTCCATAGGAACGCATTAATTGATTTTCAATGCATTCCTATGGGAAACCGTGCATCGCAAGACGAAAAACTCGCAAGACGAAGAGACTTGCGGAACGAATTAATTTCGTCTTGCGAGGCACCACTGTATATGAGCTAAGAATTGTATTGAATGTTGCATGGGCAGGAGGCAGCCACCAAACATGAAGTAAAGCTGTATCTTACAGGACTGCAGAGCTGCTGCTGGTGGGAAATCACTTGAAAATAAGGCAGAGGTGTCTTGCAATAGCTAATTGCAAGATTTCTCTGCCCACCTTCGAGCAATTTCCCCGTTCCATTGCGGCCCTGTATGACCGACTCCATCACGTTTTGCAGACTTCTCCATTCCACTTAAAACTGGGAAGGTGGGTGGGGAGAGACAGGGGAAAGATCTGTTTCACAAGCTTGCCTTCTGCTCAAGCAATACTAGACACAACCATAAATATTTATTAAATTCCACCTTTAATGCTAGTTACTTTGTCCAAAATCTAGTTTTTAAAACAGCCAACAGTTTTCCACATGCCTTAGTCTCTATTTTTCCAAGTAATGTCTAACTCACCAGTTGAGACTGAAGCTTTTTTCTATTGGTTTTATTGAAATTTTATTTAAACTGGGCATGAAAATGATGAAGAAATCAAGCAACTATTAACAGGTTTTAAACTATCCTGCGGTATCAGAATGTTCCAGTTTGCTTCTATTTCAAGTAGTTCTCGGCAGTGTGGCTCTCAGGAGTGCATTTAGTATTTATTCAGCTTTCATAAAGTCCTCATTTATAAAAAAGGATAACTGATTCTCTGTAAAGTGCTAAAAGGAAATATATGGTTGTTGCATTACAGCTATGACCTATATCTTTATGCTTTCAAGATGGAAATTAATCACCCTGTTTGAAAAGGCTGTGCTTGAATTTATGGCTGTGGGGCTGCCTTTTCCACAGCAAAAAGCTTTAATCAACTTCCCAATTTAACTGGTATTAATAGATAACAGATCACGTTAATCTCTATATTGGACAAGTCAATTCTCCCAGAAGAGCAAAGAAAAACACCAAGACTTACGATTTGAAGAAGAGGCTGTAGGGTGGGTTAGTTGCCATCAGTTGAGTTACTATTGACACAACTATTATAATAAAAACTGGCAGTAACTGGATAAATGCAGAGTATGAATTCTGGAAATGAAAACCATCGTTAGTGAAGCATATAAGCAATGGATTTAAGAAAATCAAAATAATAAGCGTAAAAAGTAGCCTCCAGATAAAGACAGATTAGCTAGCTATTAGTCTTTTAAGCAAAACTAGTTGTGGTTTAAATTAGTCCAAGTAAAGTATTGATGGACACCTATCTATTGATCAAGGCTCTTTAATACAAATAATATGGGAAGGGGAGAGCAGCTTGCTTATTCCTTTGAGGGCTATAAAGAAATAACACATGCTTGCTCCTTTTTTTTATTTGATTTTTATATACACAATGCTGCCTTAAATAGGTCGTCACAATAACTACCGCCGAAGACTAGCTTTTTGTCATGTAAATGTTCATTTCTACTTAATGCTGAAGACCTTGATAGCTTTTTAAAATCAGTGGTGCAAGGATTCTCCTAAATGTGTTCAACTGTTTTTCTTCAATGTAATTCTCTGTGTTTCCTCCTTCCTGTAAATAAATCCCTGATGGTCAAGGTGGGTTATATCCAGCAGTATCACTCACCTAACCATTTTCAGCAATTCATTCCCCTTCCACCTGCAGAACCCACCCCCAAATCTACTCCAGAGCATGGAGGAATTTGCAAAATCTCTCCCCCCCCAGCCCTGCATAGACAAACCTCCTGCTGCAACAAAATGCTTTTCACGAACAGAGGTCAATATGCCCACTCCCCAGCTCAATAAATATGCCTTTTGGCTCCATAACCTCTTCCCATTCTAGAGAAGCTTACCTTGGCCCTTTGTCACTTCATGCCACACAATCCTTGCACATTCCCCCACCTAATATTTCACTCCCCAAATGCCCACAAATAAAGTTAATTTTCAGTTTCATCTTTTCTCCAAAGTGTGCCCCATGCTATTAAGTTAAATTTGCATCCACATAGGAACTGGAGTCTCTGTCTCTCTGTTCCTGGCAAAAGCTGTTCGAATTCTTTGCCAGCAAATGTTCTTGAAGAGCAACTTACAATTAAGAACTGCAACAATTAAGTATCACTTCCTCTTAAATGCCGGGAAATTGTAAGCAAAGCCAGATTCTTTCCTACGGAAAAGAAACAGGTAGAAGTGTTTTGTGGGTGCTTTTAACAGCTTCCTGCTCCCAAGTACCTGTGGTCTAGTTTCTTCCTCCTCCTCTTCCTCTGTCCAAGTCCTATCATGCCTGTTCCGTGGCTGATAACATGGGGGATCCATTGATGAATTTGAAAACATGTGGATATTTCCTGTTGTTTTTTAAAAAAACAATGGGCTTTGTTTACTTATTTAATAGTAACGCATGTCCTATTTAAATGGGACAGAAGGGCTTCTTGCCCTTGTCATAAAAATATTAGTTTCAGAGTGAGATAATTTATTACGGTCAAAGACCAGCTCACATAACATAACACAATAAAAACAGCGTTCATAAAGATAAAATATACAATCGGAGCAGATTGCAGCAATACCTGATGAGTTAAAATTGAGATATATACACACACCCGTACAATTGAGATTGGGGCTATCATAAAAATAAAATGACCCTGAGGCATCCCAAAGGGCAACTTCAGCATTTCCCTAGTAATCTGTTTTATTCTAGAGGATGATCTGTGCCTACAAATCTGGGCACAGAATCTGGCTACCAGCCAGGTCGTCTTATGATCTTTGCCTAAGAAGAGAGAATTAAGTTTAGACTCGTCTGAAAGATCGGCGAGCCTCTTCAGCAAAGGATCAATGGTGTCTCTACGAATCTCAACATAAAAAGGACATCTAAAAAATATATGTTCGGGGCTTCCTATTTCCCCTAATGGGCAGGCGCAAAGTCTCTGTGCGTACGGGACCCTTCTATAGGAGCCTTCCAGAACTGGCGAGGGCAAGGCCGAGCTTCTTGCAAGAATAAAAGCCCTTCTTGCATTTCTGGATGTGAGGAAATAGAGATATGCTGCTGGAGCAACTACGTATCTCCCATTTTCTATGATTCTATAATTGGGGACCCTTGTACAGTCCTGTTGTCTCTCTATGTGATTCTTTGCCTAACCACGGATCTAGCTTGGCTCAGGCCCATAGTTATGAGGGTTTGGGGAGCAAGGTTCAGTTTCTGAAGTATTAGTTTCAATTTCCATAAAAGCTAACAACTGTGGACCCAAGGTTGTGAAAAAGGCTGCTCTACTTAATCCCAGTTTTGGAAATAAACCAGGTATTATGTCATAAAGTCTGGTTATCTCTGGGTATATACAAACTACTCAGAGCTGAAGTAAGAATCTATTTATTAAGAACATATATAGAATCTTCAACAGTAAGACCTGTCTAGGTATTAACTGGACACCTCAAATGACTGCAGTTGCAGAATTTCTGGAATGTCATTGGCAAAGGAGATCAAAAAATGTAGGTACTTGAACTTTTGTTACAGGGCTTTTATTTACCGGCTGCCTGGTGTTTTGTGAAGCATCAGTTAATAATGGTTTTTGTAGTACTCACCTGTTGGGAAGTTACCTCCAAAAAACATATTAAATATTTCTTCTGGTGTGATGTCTGCTTCAAACTCTCTGTAATAGTTATAATGCTTGGGAAGGTTGGTATAACAAGTCTCCTGTTCATCTCCAAATTGATCATATTGTAATCTCTTTTCAGGGTTGCTCAAGACTGCAAAAGCAGTGCCTATTGCTGCAGGATGGAAGAAGAAGAAAATGGTGCATTCTTGTCACCTATCGCAATGTCTGCAATCTAGCCTAATGCCCAACTTGCAAAGGACTGCAATGTGCTAAGTGTTTTAGAAACAGTTTAACATATAACTAACTACCTGGGCAAATACCTTTTCAATAAAGTATGAGGAGACAGCCTCAAAGCCTCATACAATTGGACTTTCCTTTTCTCTCCTCTCTGAGCACACCCACCCAGTCTGTTTTGCAGAACTGAGGAAACCTCTGCAGCAGTTTGTGGAACCCTTGCTGGGAATCTGAGGTGAGATACCCATGCAGTCGAAATTGCCCCCAGTTCCAGTCGCCACATGGAAGCAGGTAAAAAGGTAAAGGGACCCGTGACCATTAGGTCCAGTCGTGACCGACTCTGGGGTTGTGGCGCTCATCTCGCTTTACTGGCCGAGGGAGCCGGATGTACAGCTTCCGGGTCATGTGGCCAGCATGACTAAGCTGCTTCTGGCGAACCAGAGCAGCAGACGGAAACGCCGTGTACCTTCCCGCCGGAGTGGTACCTATTTATCTACTTGTGCTTTGACGTGCTTTCGAACTGCTAGGTCCAAAATAGTTTACTGCTATAGAAGACAAGGCTCAGCAAAACATTCTGGATGTGGATACACTGGCGGAGGAAGAGGGGGGCAGGGGGAGTGCACCGCCCCTGGCAGCGTGATCCAAGTGGGGTACTATCATGGCTGCCGCCCCCGCTGGGTAACATGCCCCCGCAGGCGGTGCGCCATGCCCCCGGGACGCGCGCCATGCCCCCCTGGGGCGCACGCCAGCCACTCCCCCGCCTGCTCTCCGCCACTGTGTGGATATAAACACAGCTTGCAGGCTCTGGCTCTGGCAGATAAAGACACAGACAAGTACAGTGGTACCTCGGGTTAAGTACTTAATTCGTTCCGGAGGTCCGTTCTTAACCTGAAAATGTTCTTAAGCTGAAGCACCACTTTAGTTAATGGGGCCTCCCGCTGCTGCTGCACCGCCGGAACACGATTTCTATTCTCATCCTGAAGCAAAGTTCTTAACCCGAGGTACTATTTCTGGGTTAGCAGAGTCTGTAACCTGAAGGTATGTAACCTGAAGTGTATGTAACCCGAGGTACCACTGTATAAAGAATTTCTGTTGTTCCAGCAGTTTAAGATGTAACGCACACTCTGAATAATCAAAAGACTAACTCACTTCACAAGCCAGAGTGAAATACAAGACCTTGGACCTAATGAGTTGGTGTGCCTTAATCATTCATATAAATAGCACTGGGCCATTGCCATAGCAACTGGCTTGGCTGACCCTGCATCAGTTGGCTTATTTCACCCCTTAACCCCTTCCTCCATGTCCAGTTTCTCCAACAACTCTCTGGAGCGAACTTAGGGGGAACAGGAATGGAAGACTAGAAGAGAACATCCACTTCGGCAGGGTAGAATGTCAACCAGAACATACTAGTATGAAACTTATCAGAAAACCCAAACTCACATAGGAGCTGGCGTGCCTTAATTGCTCTCCTGCAGAGTCCTCAGAAATTAGTAAATGATTAGTAAATGAAATTAGAAAATGATCCATTATCTGAGTACTGTATTTCTTATTCCCCCTTGTTTACTATCTCATTAATTAAAACTGCAAGATCATAACCATGGGATTTGCTACAAGGCTTCAGAAGATTATAGCAAAATACATTTCAATTAATTAAATGGGATTTATATTGAAAGAAAATACAGTATCTTAAGTATAACTGATTATGTAAAAGAATGGAATATTTCTTTGCAATATTCTTCAATGCAGAAAAGCATTTGATAGGCTTAAGTAGAAATCCTTGTTGAAATAATATCTGCTTTTACCTTTGGCAATGAATTTATCACATTAATCAACTAAAGCAAGTAGGATTTGGAACAGTCCTCCTTTGGACATATCTATTATATGCAAAGGAACAAATCAAACATGTCATCTATGAGCTTTATGGATTGCTGTTTCAACAGAACCTTTTGTACTATATATTAGCAAACTAAAAAAAAATGCAACACCGACTAATAGATAACTGTCATTATTAACATAATCCATAATAATAATAATTTATTACGCCGATGATGTAGCTTTATTGTTGTGATCTACAAACCTTTAAATGCATCTGTTGCTCCTGGTGCACAGTTCTTATCTGGATGAAATTTCAGGGCAAGTTTTCGGTATGCTTTTTTCAATTCTTCGTCTTTGGCATCTCTCCCAACACCTAGAATCTCATAGTAATTCTTACTGTTCTTTATTCTACAAAAGAAGCACAACCCTTTACATATAGATCTTTCCTCATAGCACTTACAGAAAGCTTCTTACTAGATTAAGGTTACCAGACGTCCTCGTTTCCTGGGGACAGTCCTCGGATTTACAGCTTTCTCAGCATTCACATGTATGTAGCGAACAATAAGTGTCCCCGGATTCATTGAAAAAAATCTGGTAACCTTATACTAGATACCCAAGCATGACTTCAAACACTGTAAAGAAAAAGTAGAAGCAGACGCATGTTTCAGACTTCTGCACCAATGGAGAAGCTATTTCAATAGCCTTTTCTATTGAAAAAGTTATACCTTACTATGAATCTGTTTCATTGATGCTGAGCCCACTAGTCTTTATCTGGCACCAGAAATGGGCAAAGTTAAGTCTGATGTGTATGGAATGTCTTATTTAGATCAGCAGCTGCCCATATGGCACCTGTGGGTACCACATCATAGCGTCCACTGTTAAAGTTCCTAGCTAAATGATAGCCAGGTGGCAGTTTGGTGGAAGAATGCATACCCACCACTTCATCTAGGAAGAAAGCACATGGGCAAGCATTTGATCAACTATCACAACACACTGTTACTGTGATAGTGCCTGTATGGCTAATGAGATAAGTAAGTAACAAACTAATTTGTTGTTTGTTTCAAAGGCAGTAATGCAGCCTATAGCAAAAACCTAACATCAAAGTAAACAAGCTTAAGTCTCAGTGTATTCAGGGTACGAAGTGTTCATAGGCTGCAATCCTATGAATAGTTATCTGGGAATAAGACTTACTGAATGGCGCAAAAAACCATTCAGTCTGAATTATAAGAAAACTATCCTAATTTGCACCTCCCAGGTTTATATACAGATGGCAATGTGTCCTTCAAATTTCACATTTCTTTGAATTTTATGATCAGGTTTTTGGCTCAAAGAAGTACCAAAATGTGTAAAGGAATATATTTAAAAATGCAAATGTATTGGATAAAATACATATTTACATCATTTTTGTATAAGGTTTTTTTAAAAAAAAATATTGCAGGTTGATGCAAAAATGGGACGGAACAGACTTGTACAGCAAAATATTAGAAAATAGCCTCCTTTAAAAAAACAACAACTATTAGCAGTTTCTCATATTAAATCTGGCTTCTGTGGATCAGCTAAATTGATTTACCCATTAACTAGATGACAGGCTGTGAGCCTAGTATTCTAGGCAGAAGGGTTTTCTATTTACCTTTGTACCCCAAGTAGCTGTTCTTTTGTGTAGGTCATGCTACCTTCCCCAGACGCTGACTGACTCCTGCCACTGTCACAGAGATGTTCTTTTTTTATCCTCTTACAGTCACTACACCCACAGTAATCAAAGTTGTTTCTCATTTCCTCCGATGTACATGCATTTCTTCTGAGCTCATCAATCAATGCTGCAAAGAAAGACAGTTAATTTTTCTCAAATGCTACTACACAGTAATTGAAGGTGGATGTTAAAGAATCCCACCCCCAAGGCAAATGCAGAATGTGAAAATTTTGCAAAGATGCAAAGTGTGGTCCCTGTTCCACAGGAGCTAAAGGCCAGAAAAGCATTAAGAATTTACTGTACAGTATAGTTAACTTGCAGTACAATGGTAAACATATCTGCTCAGAAGTTTAAGTCTCCTTGTGTTTAATGGAGTTTGCTCCCAGGCAAGTGTATACAGGCTTGCAGACTAGATTTGGGTTTAGGGTTGGAATTGGGTGACTTTTTATTTTTGGGTCTTCCATTCCACCTGCAAGAGGACATTAACTCGCATAGAACACACAGCATATGGTGCCTCTTTTGTGGGTGGGTTGGAGGGTCCAATTCACATAAAGTGAACTGAAAATCCTGTTGGCTTCTCTGGGGAATAAAGAACAAAAGTTCTGTCTGTGGTGCTTGGCCCATGATGACTCTTTCACATATACAAGTCGCCACCATGATGTATTTTATGTCACCGATGTATTTTATATGAGTGTGGTATATAAATAGAAATGAAATAATAATAATAGTAAGTGTAAAGGTAAAGGTACCCCTGCCCGTACGGGCCAGTCTTGCCAGACTCTAGGGTTGTGCGCTCATCTCACTCTATAGGCCGGGAGCCAGCGCTGTCTGCAGACACTTCCGGGTCACGTGGCCAGCGTGACAAGCTGCATCTGGCGAGCCAGCGCAGCACACGGAACGCCGTCTACCTTCCCGCTGGTAAGCGGTCCCTATTTATCTACTTGCACCCGGGGGGTGCTTTCGAACTGCTAGGTTGGCAGGCGCTGGGACCGAACGACGGGAGCGCACCCCGCCGCGGGGATTCGAACCGCCGACCATGCGATCGGCAAGTCCTAGGCACTGAGGTTTTACCCACAGCGCCACCCACGTCCATAATAGTAAGTGTAGGACTTCATTATTTAAAGCGGTAAACTAAGGCGGCACGTTTGCAATCTGCACAATGGCATAGGATGTTGACATAGAATGGTAAACAAAAGGGTATGCCACTAAAATCCAGTTTTCACTCCACTAGTTTATTCCTTTATGCTTTCCATAGTTGGCCTTGAAAACCCCAAACTGAATTTAACTTCAATTCTCACACCCCATCTCTGCATCTCCTCTTCCTGTTGCCCCCTTCGGCCCTATAGTCTACCCTTCACTCCAGACCTCAATGATCCGAGAACCACCAAACGGGGAGTTGTGTTAATCTACTGCAAACAAAACAAGGGAAAGTCACCTTAATATTGAATAAAAACAAATCGTAGCGGTGTTATGCAGCAGATACGCATGTTAAGCACACAGACACACACACGGGCAGGGAAAGATACTGCAAGGAGTGGGGAACATTTTGTGTGCCTGGAACATTTTGTGTGCAAAGCTCAAGAAGCACCCAAGCCCCTGTTTTATATACAATTAAGCTTGGCACAGAAATGCCCCAGACCTACTGGACCTCTTCCAGCATTTTCCTCTTCCTCTCTACCAACTAAGGATGGCAATTCATGCATTTGAGGGATGCATCTGGCGAGAGCTTCTGCCACGCCAAAAAAGCAACAACCCCTCGCGCTGGTCAGCCCTTTTAAAAAGGCCAGCGAGCTTTTTTTGCGGAGGCGATCTGAGATCCCACGCCCCATATGCCGATCTCCCACCTTAAGGCCGATTCTCAGCCTGAATCTCAGCCTGCCCAGGCTCTGAGGCGATGGCACCACCAGCTTGAAGGGTTCGTTACCTTCAGCCCAGCGCTCCCCAGGGCTCAGCACTGCCATTTTCCAGCTGATGGAGAGGGAGGACCGGAGGGACGACCCTGGAAAGATCACGTGGCGCAGGATCTCCACCGCAGGGCAATCTGGGTGTTGTAGTCCTCGCATATGAATGGGGGCCTTACACCTCGCAACCCCCTCCCCCCCAATAAACCCGTCCTCCTCGCGAGGAGAAATTTACCACGGGGATTATTTTTTAAAAAATATTTATATAATGTATCTTAACGTATAATCTATCTATCTATAAAATGTATCTATATATAATGTATCTATATCTATATATCTATGTATAAAATGTATCTTAACGTATAATGTATCTTTATATATATATATATTATAAATAAAATGTATCTTAACGCGGATTTCTTCTAGGAAATCGCCATTGCAAAGCCTAACTGGCGCTTCGGAGGCTTTTGGCCAGAGAGGCTTCCGCGGGCTAGAGCGGCACACCTCTCGCCGTTCCCTAGAGCGCCGCGACTTCCGATCAAATACCGGAAGCTGAGGCCGTGTGACGCATGGAGAGGAACGGGTTTGGGTTGGCTACGACTCCCGTATATTCCACACAGATGAGCACTGGAGTCATCCAGAGGGCAGAGAAGACCCTCCCGGGCGTAAAGCTCAAGTGCTTTCGATTTTTTAAAGAAAATAACGGAAAGCAGCCCTTCACCGTTATGACGCTGAGGAACCTGTGCCGCTCACAGAAAAGAGAGCGAGAGGGCCTTATCCTCTCGCTTATCCCCCGACTTCTTTTATTTGCTGCGCAAATCACCTCAAGATGTAACCCGATAATAAACGAAAAGCCTCTATAATGCACCTTCTGTTAGGCTCTCTGTCTGAGGGAAACGGTGGCGGAGGGAGGGGTTTCCGTTTCCGGTATCCATTGCGGCAGAAGCGAGGCCCCGCGAGAGGAGGAGCGGCCGTGCTTGGTCGCGCAGGCGCAGTGGAGAGGGGGGGAAACGAATCCGTTGGGGGAGGGCGGCAGTGGGCTTCCTGCGCTGTGGTGTTTTTTTCCCCCTCAGGCGAATAGGGCCGTGAAGGGGAAGAGGGCGCCGCCGTCGCCGTGGTGCTGCTGCTGCTGCTGAAGCGGCGGCAGCCGGAGCAAGGCCTGCTCCCCGCTTTCCTCCCCGTGTGGCGCGGCTCTTAGGCCCGGGAGGACGGACTCCCCCCTCGCCCTCTCCCCCCCTCTCCGCCCTGTGCGGCGGCGGCGGTGGCGGCGGCGGGGAGGAGGAGCAGGTCGGGGGCGGAGGAAGCAGGTGAGTCGTTTGGGCCGTGGGGGGGGGAGGGGAGGGCCAGTGGGGGGAGGAAACGGTGGGGGGCAGTTATTTCATCCTCATTTTTATATTTTGTAGGCCTGAGGTAACTCAGTTGGTAGAGCAGGAGACTCTTTATCTCGAGGGTTCGAGCCCCACATGGGGCAAAAGATTCCTGGTTGGTCCCTTCCAACTTTTCTGAAGGAGCAGCAGTAGTCATCCCCGCCCAGCAGTTATCTAGTCCACTTCGATTTACAGTGGTACCTTGGGTTACAGACGCTTCAGGTTACGTGATTTCGGGTTGCGCACCGCGCCGAACCCGGAAGTACCGGAACAGGTTACTTCCGGGTTTCGGTGCTCGCGCATGCGTACAACCGCTAAATCGCGCTTTGCACATGCGCAGAAGTGCCAAATCGCAACCCCGTGCGCGCGCAGATGCGGCACTGCAGGTTGCGAACGTGCTTCCCACATGGATCATGTTCGCAGCCCGAGGTTCCACTGTACAGTGGTACCTCGGGATGCGAACGGGATCCGTTCTGGAGCCCAGTTCGCATCCTGAACAGCCAATTTTACACATCCCGCCTTGGGGAGGCGGCAGGCAGCGTTTGAAATTCCCCAGGCGCATTTTGCACCTTGCGACCAAGTGAAGATGCCTGTGGGTGCCAGGATCGCGCCTGGCGTCTTCCCCCGTCTGCAGGTGTGGGGTGCCTGGGGAATCCTTGGATCTTGACTGTTTTCACACACTTAGCAACACATCCTGTAAGAATACTTCCTTCCAGTAGCACCTTAAAGACCAACTAAGTTAGTTCTTGGTATGAGCTTTCGTGTGCATGCACACTTCTTCAGATACATCAATCTGAAGTGTATCTGAAGAAGTGTGCATGCACACGAAAGCTCATACCAAGAACTAACTTAGTTGGTCTTTAAGGTGCTACTGGAAGGATTTTTTTTTTGTTTTGACTATGGCAGACCAACACGGCTACCTATCTGTAACTGTAAGAATACTGTTTGACCTGCACAATGAATTTCAGGAACCAAAAAGTCATATGGAAAATTATGACTTTCTGGCCTCCAAGTGACAACTAGGCTTCCAATTTTGGCGACTGTAACCCTGGCTTAAGGAGTCATTTGGCATCCAGTCTAAATATCTGATTTCCTAACACTGGTGGCAAAGCACCAATATAGGATCTTGCTGTGAGTTGACAAGGAAATAGCAGCCAAGTGAGGTGACAAATAATGCCGACTCCTCTTCAACATGAGGACAGGGGCTATTTTGACCTTGAATAAGCCCACAGGACAAGTGGTGAAGATGGAAGCAAAAGACAAGAGTGGGAAAGAAATCTTGGGTGTTAATTGAGAAGCAGATGACTGCTGTGACTGACTCTGACTGCTGTGAAAATTGCAGCATATATGGGTGTTTGCATGAAATTAATAACCAGCTGAAGTTCTAGCAATGGAAAAAGGAGGGACAAGATTGAAAATCAGTTTCAATACTATTGTACGTTAAAGTACATTAAGAAATCTTTTGTTGCCATAAGTGTAGTATGAGATAGTATAGGGAGTGGTCTGTGCAGGCTACAGTGGTTATGAAAGCACTTATGTTCTGAACATTTCATCCAGAATGCCACAAGTTGTTGAGAGATGAGATAGAAACCCCTAAAATAAATTAAATAACTTCTCTAAAGTCCTAACACGATGAATGTGCAGAGTTTATTCACTGCAAACAATTTTTTGAAAAGTTCAGTTGTGCTCTAGAATTTGGCACCCTGCATCACATAGTGCTTAGTGATGGGTATATGTTTGTTTTTGCAAATATATTGGGTGGGAATTAAGATAAACTTGTACTCTGAATCTGGTGATGGGCAGGCAGGTAAAAAAGTGTGTGGAAAACTGAATGCCGAAGTAGATCTTTGAACCCAGAGGCATGGGTTCCTTTGCCTCCTTGAACCCAAGAAACCTGCTGGATTCAAGGGGTTTTTCTGTGTAGCATTGCATCTCTGACAGTGGCCAGCTAGGCCACAGAATATGAAGGAAACAGTTTTCCTCATTTTAATTTGCACTCTGTAACCTGTTTTCATAGATTTATGGCACAGCATTATTTAGAAGAGGGTTAGAATAGCAGGGGTGTGGAACCTCTGGCCTGTGGGCCAGTCTTGTCCCACCATTCTCCTTCCACCACACACCAAGGGCCTACTTTGACAGGCAGGTGAGACTGCCCAACTGTCAGGTGGTGGTCATGCCCTCTTGTGAAAGTTGCCCCACTGGGGTGTGGGGAGGTAAAGATCTGGCACTCTGGGCCAAAAGATTCCACACTCCAAAATACATACCATCAATTTCAGCATTGAGTTTGCTGGAACACGTTAGCAGGACATTGACGGATCTAAACCAAATGAACTTGAAAGGAAGCCCCACTGTTTTCAGTGGGACTTTTTTCTGAGTATGCATATTTGGGAAAACACGTGATGCTGTTTTTATGAAAAGGTTTATCTACCACTATTCCACCATAGCTATAGTGGCATTCATCTCCTCTGAGTAAAGATATATTGCTAGGACTACTAAATCAGTTCTGACATATTTTCAAGTCGGCGTACACAGAACTGTAACATTAGTTTTGTTGTAAAATAGTATTTATTTTTAGCTTTGTAGACTAAGCAGTGGTACAAAGTTAAATGTAATGTTTGCTCGTTACCCTCTGATTTCCTTGTTTTTGAATGCCCATATTCAAAGGAGGATAGCAGGGATTCCATGCCTTTTGGCATTTATATAGAAAATGAAATTTTGTCAGATATAATGTTTTTTATTTTGGTGTGGGAAGCTGAAATTCCCTGCTTTCTTTTGATCTGATCCCTTTATCAGAAAGATTTAGAACTGTGCAGCACAAGACAGTGCATGTTTACTTGAAATCAAGTCTCATTGTGTTAAGTGAGGTTTACTCCAGGTAAGTGTATGGAACTGCAGTTTTGTGTATGCTTACTCAGAAGTCCCACTTAGTTCAGTGAGACTTACTTCTCGGTAAGTACGTAAAATTGCAGTCTTAAGTCATTTGACTCTATCCAGAGAGTGCTATATTCAGTTGGTTCATGTTCTATGGTACACCAACTCCCTTTCTTAAGTTGCTGCTATTCTACCATCCAATTTGACTAAAAGAACCCATACTCAGTCCTACTGAAATTTGGATATAAAGTTAACAATGCTTCTTTTTATAAGAAGTTGCTGTGGATCAGAGTTCTGACTTTGGTAACAAGCAAAATACAAATGGTTTGCCCCAATATTTAGGCTGTAATAATAATAAGGAAAACTCCTTATTACCATGCATCTTGCTGGCAGTCTTTTATTTCAATAGTTACTCTTAAAACATCCATAGAAAACCACAAACAGGATACAGAAGAGTTGCAAAAGGTTAGGTTTTTTTAAAAGTACCCTTCACATTCATATTATCTGAACTGCCCTGAGATGTTATGAGGAAGGGTGGCATACAGATCTAATAAATATTATGAATGTAATAAAAATTGCAGTAAAATGTAACTGCAGTGTGAGGGAATTGGCTGTTTTGTATTTATTAGCCCACAGTTGAAGCATGTGAGGTTGATCCTGTGTTTGTCCTATCAATGAGTAGAAACTCTGAGTAGAAGCTAGTATGAAAAATAGTAACTGTGTTCCTAGGAACTCTGGAGGTTTCTTGGTGAGAAGTTCAGTATTAGTGCATAAATTGCCTGAAATACAGTTCACCCACCACCAATGCCAATTTTCCTTGATAACATATATGTTGGCATTTCTAGGGGTGCCTTGTGTGAACTGGCAATGCACCCCAAAATGTGCTCCCTAGAACTGTTTGCACATGAAGGGAATTCTCACAAGAAAATTGGTGCATGAAGTGTTCCACTAGGGTAGGAAGTGTGAAAATACCATTCTCTAGGCCAGTGAATGTGAGACTGTTGCATTTTTCATAGAAAAGGAAGTAAGTGTTATCACATGGTGAGTCCACGAGGTGGTGGAAATAGAAAAGTGTCTATTTGGTTGCTGAAATTCTTAGAAATTTGATTCTGATACCCAGATGGCATTGTGAAAGCAAAGGGGGGGGAAATTATGGGTGGGGGAAAATTGGTTTCTTTCCCAAAACTTAAATTTCCCCCCGAAAGAGTAACTGGAATTTTTGGGGAATAGTGATATACCCGTCATTTGCATTTTTTCCCCCTTTTGGAATATGTAGTATGAAGATTTTCATAAAAGATCTTTGAAACTGGTGGGGCGGTACTGTTATTGTTTGCTATTATGATATGTATTTTTGTGTTTTTATATTTTATGCTGCCCTTCAGTTTTTGGATGAAGGGTGGTATAGAAATTTAATAACTAACAAACACCACCACCAGACAATCTGCATAAAGCATCAGAGAATTATAATTCCTGTGTATACTGAAAACATACACAAAATTCAAATCTGAGGTACATTCTGCACCTATAAGATTCTGCCGCCTTTATGATAGGAGTATATAGGACCTTCATTACTTGTGAATTGTCTTCAAGCTCCTGGCCCCATGCATTACATGCAATTCTCATGTAAGAGGTGCTTTCTGAACATATATATGCTACACAGTTTATGTTTTATGTTTGCCTATTATGGTTCCCCCTCCCCCCCAATAATTCTGGGAATTGTACTTTCGTTAGAGTGTTGAGAAAATTTAGATCTATAACTGCCTTCAAAGACTAGCACCACAATCCAGTTAGGATGCATGCAAAAAACACTACATGTACTCTTCATGTCTGCACAGGCAGTTTTGTAATTAGTTATGGTGATTAAATGCCTAGTTTTGTGAAACAGTCTTTGGATATGATGAAAGGGAGATAAGGAAAAAATGCAGTTGAAAATAATCTGATATCGTCTCTAGCAATTGTTTAAATAAGTATGTCAGCAATATTTTTTAAAATAAAGGTAAAGGGACCCCTGACCATTAGGTCCAGTCGTGGCCGACTCTGGGGTTGCGGCGCTCATCTCGCTTTATTGG